GTCATGAATTTTGTATCCTCTGATTATTATTGTAACAACATTGTTTATTACACTCGTCAGAGCTTCTGAATCATCTGATTATTATTGTAACAACATTGTTTGTACACCATTCATGGCTTTTGTATCCTCTAATTATTATTGTAACAACATTGTTTATTACACTTGTCAGAGCTTTTGAATCATCTGATTATTATTGTAACAACATTGTTTATACACCCCTCATAGCTTTTGTATCCTCTGATTATTATTGTAACAACATTGTTTGTACACCCGTCTTGAATTTTGGATCATCTGATTATTATTGTAACAACATTGTTTGTACACCCGTCATGAATGTTGTATCCTCTGATTATTATTGTAACAACATTGTTTGTACACCCGTCTTGAATTTTGTATCCTCTGATTATTGTTGTAACAACATTGGTTATTATACTCCCCTGAGAAAGTGAATTGTTATACCACATTGTCTCAGCGGCAAGTCTGCAGGCTTACGATGCTGAAAATCAGATATTGAAACCCGTGTTGGGTACAGTACGGATAGCCTCGTAGGTTTCTGCATAATAATAACGAAAACTAAATTATATTGAATGGTCGAACTGTGAAGAAGTTAGTTCATTATTAACTGTTAATGGTAAACTTTAAAAGTTCTGAAACAAACACTTAACGAATAGAAATCGATATAAAACACGTGATGTTTTATTAATGTGTCCCATATTTCTTAGTGTTGTGGTTTGAGATGCACTTTCAGCACAGTAAACAAGTGTCTAGATATGGGAGTCGTGTATATATTTCTCTCGTTATAAGCCAACAATCAAAATAAAAATTATAAAAAGTCTGAAATATTCAATAATCAAAATCCAAATAAAATTATATAAAACATTTGAGTCAAGATAAAATGTATTTAAAATGCTCAAAACGAAACAAAAAATTTTTAGAACGTTCCAGACAAAGTCATTCTAATCAGAACAAAGCTGTATAACATATTGGAATGAAAACGAACATTGACAACTTTCACACAAACTTTCACACGTGTAAATGTTTTCTAGATTTATTCAGTAGTGTGACACCTGTGGTTTGGGTTGCTGTTCATGCGCCCATGTACGCTGTACTTATCACGATTTGTGTACAGCTGCATAGATCAGGAATAGCCTGAGTTGTTTCTTATACTCACAGTTGCTTTGAGTTGTGACAAATTAGGTTTTGTCAAGTTTAAATAACACGCATTCTTGTCAGATACTGTGTATGTATGTGATTGAGGATGAATGG